CCCCCCCCCCAATAAAGATGTCAATCAAACAAAATGTTACATTTCTCAAAAGTGTGTATAAAAATAAAAGGATTATTTGTCCTATTCATTAGCTTATGTCGATGTTTATGACATGTGACATCTTTACGTGTGTTCATATTCGATTACATACGCCGAAAATGGTATATACCCTGTAATTTTGTATCAAATGAAAATACGATATCAATACGAGTAATTATATTATATCATTTTAAATTAGCGACCCAATCAAAAGCCGCGTACTGTGTCGTTTTGACCAGTCAGATTAAGTGTTGCATACATCTTGCTTAATCCTCTTGCGAGACTGTTGACCAATAGGCGATCATTTGCTTACCGCGTTCTTTTTTGGGCAAACAAAACAAGCATAAATAATAAGCTGCAAAACTTCATTAAAATATTTCCAATGGCTGAAAGATTCTTGCAATTACGAACTGAACAAGCCGGTCGAAACCTTATCGAATTTTAATTCGAAGGAAAACATTAATGCCGGCAAGACATTTCCACCACACATGCATTCTAAGATTTAAAATTATTGTTATACCTTGTTATATATCCATTGCCATCAATATCATAAATATCAAACGCCCATTTTAGTCTTTCGTTGACATCGCCTTTCTTCAGTATCGCCATCGACACAATCAGCTCGTGAAAGTCCAAGACACCGTCGCCATTTTGGTCAAAAATCCGAAATGTGTGCTCGGCAAACTCCGATGGGTCACCATCGGGGAAGAAATTCGAGTACATCTTTTTCAATTCATTCACCGTCATCGTTCCAGATTTACTCCTTTTTCGAAATTCCTTGTGATAAGTTTTGATTTCTTGCTCGCTGAATGTCGTCGTTCTTGTCAGTTCGTGGAGATCTCTTGGCTTGAGTTTGCTCTGTTCCTTTCCCATGTTCACGGTGAAAAGCAGATACCAGGATGTCATAAATACACATTATATATATATATATAGTGATCCTTCCCTTATCCGCAGACAGGCAGAGTACACCTAGTTATATATGAGTAGATACACGAATATCCGACGAACATGAAGAAAGAAAATGTCTGCTGCCTTTGTGACAAGACATATGTCATATCTTAAGTAGGAACAGACTACTCTTCTTCCGTCAGGTCGATGTGTTCATAAATCATATATATTGTGTATTCCCGAAAACACGTAGAATTATGGCCTACATTAACAAATCTTACAATGAGCCTCAAATTTTTTCCTCATATAGTCGATAGTTTTTGAAATACAGGCGAATCTTGCTTTCAGATGTTGACGTAGTTTCGTATACATAAATTAATTAAAGACCATATGCTACACGAGGCATTTGCAGCAACCTGCAATGCAATTTCGGATACAGAGCCATGTTATCTAAAAAATAGCAGGAAAAATTGTCTTGTGCAACATGCATGGCGGCCTTAACATTTATTATGCATTTAACAATTGCTTTGCTGAGAAAATAAACACGACATTTTCATGCAAAACGAGTTAAAATGGAACCATTTGTCTTGGTCTTAGATGGTTTGGCACAACAATTTTTAGGAACAAAAATTAAGTATAGTATTAGCAACAAAACTTTCTAGTAGACATCTGCATTGGGCAAAAGCAGCCCACTATATATAGTTACCGATCTGTGGGAAAATTTCTAGAGCAGACGGTTAAACAGAAAAAACACTGCATGGTATGGTTATGCTTAGGAGCGCACATTTTTCGAGCCATTCAACTGAAAAATGGGGGTACGTACAGAAATCCCAACTCGAAATACTCGATCTAGCGAGGGTACTAATTAACTTGCAATTGTAATATGAGTTTTTGTTAATACTGCAGTTAATACAAGTTATGTACGAAGCCAATCGAAGACTGAGGATAATTGCATATATGCTAGCTTTTATTGTATTTCATCATTGTGTTTCACAGATGTTGAGGTTATATATGAATTGAAATACTATTACTATGATACAAACTTTACGATTATAGTGATTCTGTTAAGATGAAATAATAAATTTACAGTCCATCACCATCAAATCACTGTCAGGTATAGAGTTCTTAAATCCAACCTTAAACTACTTCTATAAGACCTTCTAAGTTTTTACATTTAGATATTTTAACATATAATAATTACGATGTGATAATACGGTTTAGTATAATAATTACGATGTGATAATACGGTTTAGTCTTAAATACGACTTCATTTACTCCACTTTGCACACAAAAGCAACGCCTAAATCTTCATTATCAAGAGCTCGCATTCAAATAATGGGAAATAGTTTGTGGGTATGTTTTAAACTCGTTCAGTATAGTTTCTATTCTTCCAAAAGAGTTGTATGACAGTTATTAAACTTTTCCTTCTTATAAGTTTTATGTCAATTGAATAGTTGTAAATATTATTCTAGTTGTAATTATTAAAATTTCATGAAAATTCAGTGCTGGAAGCCTTTAGCCAAATATCACCGAGTATAACTAATCAATCTCCCAACGATTATGCGAGCCCTGTTTTTGTATCATCTAGATTTACAGTTTATCAAGTTAAAGTTGCAAATCTAGGTTTAAATCACAAACTTTCATACTGCGATTTGCAGTTGAGCTTAGAGACAAGAAGTTTTGCCCTGCAGTTTGATCGTTGAAACGTACAAGTTACCAAGGGCAAATTCAAATGTTGTCAAGCGGAAATGCGAATGTTGTCATGGGAGATTTAGACACTTTCGGCCAATCATAGTGAAGAAGGCGTTGCCCGATTGGCCGAAAGTGCCTAAATCTCCCATTACAACATCCTTGGTAACTTGTGCGTTTCAACGATTAAACTGCACGGCAAAACTTCTTGTCTCTAAGCTCAACTGCAAATCGCAGTATAGCAAAAAGAAAAAAAGAACTTGCAAGATCAAGGCTCTATTTTGATTTCGTCTTCAAGACGAATAGCCTCGTTATCAAACACTTTCAGATCTATCTCTTCGCCACTACCTTGATCAGTTGGCTGGAATGCAATTCCTTGGGACTTTTTGTCGCTTGTGTTAAGTATTCTCGTCTTGAATTTGGCCTCCCTGTGGGTTCGGTGTCGTTTTATACGAAGGTAGATTACGACACTGATCATCAAGATAAACACAACAGCGGCGCCAACAATGACAAAAAAGATTGTTTTGTCCAGACCAAGAATTTTATCTTCGTTCGAGTCATCTATACATCAGGTATAATAAAAATCAGCTTTATATATTATTACCAGAGGTTATTTTTCTATCAGAGCTTTTGGCAGATAACAAAATACTGAGGGGGTCAATTAAGATGATTACCATGGGGTGATTAATAGGTGATACGCTTTCGAAGAGTAACATGTTATGTACTCTTTCAATGATTTTGTTCTTGAGAACGTTACTATTTTGTGACAATGGGTCTAGTGAACGTCGTTGTCAACAAACATAAAGATATAATAACAATCTATCATATACAGGGAGTCTAAAAAAACGCAATGGAAATTCAAAAACGTGGATCATAAACGTGGTTAAACAATTCAATTTTTACATAGGACGAAAGAACAGTTATTTAGCTTTTCAATGATACTCTTTTTAAAAAATCGTAACGATAAGAAATGGCCACATATACTCGTCAAATAAAAATTGCCGGTCAAAATCACATTCTTAATTTTCGTCTTAGTGAGACAATTAATAAGAACGTCATTAAACATGGTTAATTAACCACTGAACAGAGAAGATTCGAGTCAAACGTTTTACGAAACAAATACTGCTTGCAATACACTCGCGTTGCTTTGGATTGATTAACTTTGTACAATTAATGTATTTTCAATTCGAAGATCCCAACGGTGAAAGAATGTGATTTCGACCGGCAATTTTTATTTGACGAGTATGTGGCCATTTCTCATCGTTACGATTTAAAAAAGGTATCGTAGAAAAGCTAAATAACAGCTCTTTCGTCCTATGTAAAATTTGAATTGTTTAGCTATAAGTTTATGACGTACGACAGCCTGTTAAATTTACATTGCGTTTTTTCAGAAATCCTGTATCCATATCATCTACTGTCGAAAATAAATGATTCTGTGAGCAAAATTAATATAAGTACACTCAAATTTCGTTTTAGCTTAGCTAGTATATTTAAACCGATTATTAACTTTTTTATGTTACCTTCCATTGTCTTTATTTTAACTCTCATTTTACCAAGCTTGCCAATCTCTTTAATTTCCATCAATGGTTTAAGGGGGTCTTCGACTTCCTTCGTAAATATGAACTCAATTTCGACAATTATACTGCCGCGCCTGCGAAAATACACAACACACAAGAAAGAAAATAATAGAATTAGACATATGTTTGCTCGCTAACTGACGTAGTTTAAGTAAATTAATATAGTCCATTACCATTTATGACACACTGTTAATTAGGGCACCTCATTTACTGTCTTTATTATTAGCATGACAATACTACTGGATGCTGATTGGTTGAGAGGAGTACAATTATTTCATTAATTGTACTGCAGTACAATTAATGATTTTCCCAAAACAAACAAAATGGCGGAAAGGTATTTTAAACACAAGCGTGAAATAAAATTGCCCTAGAGGAACTAGATGAAAATACGAACAAAAGCACCAAATTTTGCTTTAACACAAGAACTAAATGAAAATACGGACAAAAGCACCAAAATTTGGTTGAAAATCTGGCAGGACTGGGCTTTGGCGAGAGAATATCTGATGTTAACATTGAGAAGTATTCAAATTTGTCATGCTAATAATAAACAAGTAAACATGCGATGTTGGCAAAATTTCCAAACATCACTTGTACTATTATTATTAATCCCTAATTGTACTCGCCATCGCGTGATTACCTATACTTATTAAACGTGACCTAAAGTCGATCGTGTCTTCTGGTTTAGATATTCGAGACTCAGAGATGACATTATCAGCCAGCAGGGTGTGAATAATTTTTAAAAGATATAGCCTTCCGTCTTCACTTCAAAACATGACGATTTATACGCCTAGATTTTAGTCGACATTTCGATCAACGCCATTTACTTTGAATTACCTGAATCCCTTGACAATAACATAACTAAACTCAGCGTGGTCCTTGTAAACTTTTCTTATCTACGAATATGATAAATATTCTTAAGAAGATAAAACATTTTAGGCAAAAACCAAACATTTTACATTTTAAGTCTTCACCTTGTTTTTGCACCATACCTACCTCAACCGTCAATTGCGATGCGAGATTTTTGTACACTTTTGATGTTTTTGTTTCAAGTTGATCGTCCCATTTTTGATCTGTTAATGTCATTTCAGATACCACTGAACTTTTCTCTATATTAGCAAAAATTTTATTATTATGTTTGCGATGTTACTCTGAGTGCATATCCACACCGGGCGAGCATGAAATATATGCCCGGCCACGGTGGGATTCGAACCTACGACCTTTGGAAAATACTAGCCCAATGCTCTTCCAACTGAGCTACGCGGTCAGGACGGTTCGAGTAAGTGATATTTCAGAACAGTATCTAGTTCCTTCAATACCAATGTGTTCTTGTAATATGAATTTTTTTTCTGTGCTGGTGTTGTGTACTCAGGTGAATAATATGTTTTGTGATGTTACTCTGAGTGCATATCCACACCGGGCGAGCTTGAAAAATATGCCCGGCCACGGTGGGATTCGAACCTACGACCTTTGGAATACCAGCCCAATGCTCTTCCAACCGAGCTACGCGGTCAGGACGGTTCGAGTAAGTGATATTTCGGAACAGTATCTAGTTCCTTCAATACCAATGTGTTCTTGTAATATGAATTTTTTTTCTGTGTTGGTGTTGTGTACTCAGGTGAATAATATGTTTGCGATGTTACTCTGAGTGCATATCCACACCGGGCGAGCATGAAATATATGCCCGGCCACGGTGGGATTCGAACCTACGACCTTTGGAATACCAGCCCAATGCTCTTCCAACTGAGCTACGCGGTCAGGACGGTTCGAGTAAGTGATATTTCGGAATAGTATCTAGTTCCTTCAATACCAATGTGTTCTTGTAATATGAATTTTTTTCTGTGTTGGTGTTGTGTACTCAGGTGAATAATATGTTTGCGATGTTACTCTGAGTGCATATCCACACCGGGCGAGCATGAAATATATGCCCGGCCACGGTGGGATTCGAACCTACGACCTTTGGAATACTAGCCCAATGCTCTTCCAACTGAGCTACGCGGTCAGGACGGTTCGAGTAAGTGATATTTCGGAACAGTATCTAGTTCCTTCAATACCAATGTGTTCTTGTAATATGAATTTTTTCTGTGCTGGTGTTGGTATTGAAGGAACTAGATACTGTTCCGAAATATCATTTACTCGAACCGTCCTGACCGCGTAGCTCAGTTGGAAGAGCATTGGGCTAGTATTCCAAAGGTCGTAGGTTCGAATCCCACCGTGGTTGGGCATATTTTTCAAGCTCGCCCGGTGTGGATATGCACTCAGAGTATCATCACAAACATATTATTCACCTGAGTACACAACACCAGCACAGAAAAAATTAATGTTCATTATATATAACCATTATATATTTAACTTAATAGTAAATCTAAATCTAAATGTCTCGTAAATAATATGTTCATGATAACCTTAATTAACTAAATTAACATGCTTGATATCTCTCAGGTGGCTTACTCAATCGTCCGCTTCTAGTTTTATAATATTGTCCAGTACTTGGCTCTGAGACTTGTTCCTCACGAACTTCTCTGGCACCATCAGACTGGAAATCTTCAATTGGTTCCCACTGTCTTGATATCTGAACACCATACTTCTGCTTTCTGATATGATTTCTGTTTCTTCTAAATCGTTGACCATTGGGTGTTTGAATGATGTACGATCTCGGTGTTTCCAGTTTCTCTTTGATCACTGCTGGTTTCCACTTATTCTGTACTTGTACTCGTACTGCTTCTCCTTCTTGCACTGCCGGAAGCTCCGTGGACCCTCTGTCATAATATCGTTTTTGCTTTCTTTGTTTTTCTTCGAACTTTTCTTTCATTCTCTAAGGATCAACAACTTTTGGCTGAAGTTGATTTGGGGTAGTTGGTAAGTGCGAAGCATAGAAATATTAGACCTAGAATGCGTGCTTGGTCACGTGACCGGTGTCCAAACTGAAAACAAAAATGCCCTTATAAATCCGCCATGTTGAATTTGAGTAGGAGTGCAAACTACAAAGTATAAACAAAACTAAAACTATAAAGTTTTCATCGTCAAAACGTTTGGTATTTGTAGTTTGGGGATAGAATTTGAAATATTAAGTTCTTTAAAGGCTCAAAGCAAATGTGCCGTTACAAAAACGGTGAAAATCGTGCAGCCTTGTATAAAAAACAAGTAGTTTTTTCTTGTAGTTTCGCGTATAAAATATAACTTACTCATAACACATTTTTGCAAGCTCTGAACGTAACTGTTTTGCTAATACTTTATAAAATTACGAGATGATAGTTCATTCTTCGTCGGGTTTTGTTTTTCTTCAATCTAAACGAAGTGTTTTCATGTTTTTGAAACAAAAATATTTCAGTTGTTGATATTTAAAACTGTAAATCGCCTAAATGATCGTCGAAAACATATGGTTTCAAAAGCGTTGCCTCAAGCTCAAACAACGTAATAATAAAAGTATAAAAAGTAGTTGTGTAAGTTTAAAAAGATTATTGAACTCTATTTATATTATAAAACAGTTGAAATATATTTTTTGAAACATACCTCTTGAGTTTCAGTTTGTCTTGATTTTTCGTGTTTTGTTTTGGCTTGCACAACAACGTTGAAAATGTATTTTGAAACGACGATTTCTCTATATATTCGATTTCTTCGTAAAAAACCCCACGGGAATGGGTTTTTCTCCATTAAAAACACTTTTTTCCACTTCAAGTCTGGATAGAATTGTTTTTGCAAACTTTGTTGAAAAAAACAATTCGCACTCCCGGCACCGCGCGAATTTCCACGCCACAGGAGTCTGGGACTAGCCAAAATGCCCTTATAAATCCGCCATTTTGTGGAGACAAAATTTTTACTGAGAAGAGATAGGAGCACGCATTCTATGTCAATTATTTCTATGGTGCGAACGCAAACGTCGGCTCATCAAGATTTGTGCTGGTGAAGCCACGTTACCAATGGGTGTGTTGCGATACTCCAACAAACTTAGGTATACGGATCTTTTCCATCTTGTTTTGCTTTCGATAGCAAACGTTTCACGATTTGAACTGCTTTCTCAGCCAAACCGTTTGATTTCGGATAATATGGACTTGAAGTCTGGTGCTCGAAATTCCACTTTTGTGCGAACTGCTTGTACTCTGTGGCAGTGTACTGAGGACCATTGTCACTTCTTACGACTGATGGAATTCCATGTCTTGCAAATATGGACTTCATATGATTCACAACAGTTCTGCTGGTGGTGTTTTCCAACTTGACTACTTCAATGTAACGCGAATAATAATCTGCCACGACCAGATAGTTGTTCTGTTCCCACTGAAACAAATCAGTTGCGACCATGTCCCATTGTTCCTTGCACCATGGGTTCTTTGGGATTCGACATCTGGTATTCTTGGCAGGTTTGGCATTTGGATACAACAGCTTCAATTTGCTCATTCATTCTTGGCCAAAACATAATGTCCCTTGCTCGTCGTTTGGATTTCTCTATGCCCATGTGACTCTCGTGTATTCTTTCTAGCATCTTTCCTTTCATACTGAGGGGTATGATAATCTTGTCTTGCTTCAACAAGATTCCATCTACTTCTGAAAGCTCGTCACGATAATTCCAGTAGTCCTGGATTTCGCAAGGTGTTTGTTTTCTTGTCTCTGGCCATCCCCTTCGGATTGTTGAGAATAGGGTCTTCATGGTCTGGTCAATCGCTGTTTCTTTCTTGATTTGTTCCAGTCGTTCTTCGGATACTGGCATTCTGCTGGTTACCGTGTGCACGTAACATTCTAACTCTTCGTTCATCTTGCTACTGTCCACATCATCATCGTTAAGGTAAGCTCGAGAAAGTGTATCCGCGATGATCATTTCTTTCCCAGGTCTGTATTTCAATGTAAAGTCGTACCGTTGCAACCGTAATAGCATTCTCTGCAGACGAGGTGGCGCTGACGTTAACGACTTCTTCACAATTGAGACCAGCGGTTTATGATCAGTTTCAACTTCTACAGCTCTGGCATATGTGTACTGGTTGAACTTCTCGAACGCAAAAACAACTGCCAATAGTTCTTTTTCGATCTGCGCATACCGAGTTTCCGCATCTGTTAGGGCTCTCGAAGCAAACGCGACTGGTTTGTCATCTTGAAGTAACGCTGCTCCCAAACCGCTCTTTGAAGCATCACACGTCACCGTCACAGGTTTCTTTACATCATAGTATGCAAGAACTGGCGCCTTTGTTAGTATTTCTTTTACTTCTTGGAACGCTTTCTCCTGTGCAGCTCCCCATTGAAACTCCACGCCACTTTTCATAACCTCTCTAATCGGCTGCATTATCGTGGACATGTTAGGTATAAACTTTGCTAGATAGTTCACTGTACCAAGCAATCGTTCAGCTCCTTTCTTATCTTCGGGAGGGGGCATCTGCTTAATGGCTTTAACCTTCTGCTCATCCGGTTTCACACCTTCTCGGGTTAACTTGTGACCGATATAAGTGACTTCTTTCACTCGAAACTCGCATTTCTCTTTGTTGAGAGTGAGGTTGATCTCTTCACCTCGTTGTAGGGTATTCATCAGACGTTCGTCGTGCTCTTCGACTGTGGCTCCCCAAACCAAAATATCATCCACATCACTGTCGAATTCACCCACTCGGTTGGACCATCGACTTTCTCCACGACTCCCTTTTCTTCCATATCGTCTAGCGAAGACCTCAGCCTCTCTCTGAGCGCAACTGGTGTACTTCTTAAAGGACTGACGACAGGTATAATCGTAGGGTCGACTTCGATGTGGTATGGATTCTTTAGGCATCCCAAACCTTGAAATACTTTAGGAAATTCCTCATGAATGGTTTCTGCTGATTGACCAATCACATTGTTCACATTCATGATGATTTTGATCAGATTCAGTTCTTGAGAAGCTTTCAAACCAATGATGGGAACTTGTCCAGTTTTCACCACGAAAAATTTCAATGTCTTGTTGTTACATTTCAGATTTCATTCTCCGACGACCGGTAGATAATCGCCAGTGTAACTTGTTAACTTTGTTGTTGGTCTTTCTAACCGGGTTTGTTTGAGCTTCATCTTCTCGAATGTAGGTAGGGGTATTATATTGGCTTGTGATCCCGTGTCAATCTTGAACTTGATCTCATTTCCCTCGATTGATAAAGTTTTGAAAACATTCTCTTCGTTATGAATTGAACTAACCGCTCCAATAAACAACGGTTCGTCATCTGTACTCGCTTTGTCTACTGCATGTATTTTCTTTGACTTGCAGAATTTAGCGAAATGATTGTTTTTGTCACACTTAAAACATTTCTTACCAAAAGCTGGGCATTCTTTCCCAGGATGAGACTTTCCGCACTTTCCGCAACACGATACTTGTTCTTGTTTGTTGCCGCCGTTATGCTTGAAATCACGCCTTCGATTTGCATCTAATTTGCTACGATAATTTCCTGATTTGTTATGTTTTCCTATGGCCTTGACGCTCTGAACATCGTTTAGTACTTTTAGTTGTTCCTCAGACTGTTCGTTTATTTGACATACTTCTAACGCTTTATCTAACGTTAACTCTCGTTCTCGCAATAACCGTTCTCTCACACGCTCCGATTTTATTCCGTAAACAACGCGGTCCCTAATCAACTCGTCCTCAAGAGACCCGAAGTTGCAATTCTTAGCGAGCAATTTAAGTTCAGTTACGTACTGATCGGCTGTTTCGTCGTCTCTTTGCACTCGCGTATTAAACTTGTATCTTTCCATAATCGTGTTTCTTCTGGGTTCACAATACTCGTCAAACTTCGCGAATAACACGTCGATTTTGTCCGTTTGAGCCTCTGTAAACTTCATTGTGTTATAAATGTCTCGCCCGTCTTGTCCGATCTAGCCTGAAAACAGACCTACGTTTCGCCCACCCTAAAATTCGCGGGTCGATGGAAAGGGCGAAACGTAGGTCTGATGAAAATCGTGTCGAAACGCTGTGGAATCCGACCGCCAGGCGGTCGGAATAGCTGATTGGCTAATTTACAGGGGAATGGGTTGTGATTGGTCGGTCGCTAACATGAAAAGATTTGAAAAGATCAGAATGTATTTCAACGGTAAATCAACGCATATACTATGCATATAGTGTAATATTCTAAATATTTTGTGAAGTCGAACGACAAATATACTAACAGTATCTACCGTCTAAAATTAAAACTAGAGCGGGAGTAGAGCAGACTTGTCAAATACTTCAGCGTTGTGTCTTTCCATTGTAATAATAGGCTTATAATACAATAATTTTTACACTATTTATGTTCCGTGATATAAATCATAATAAAACTGATACAATTATACACATAGGCCTATGTGTCAGTGCAATAGTGCGTTTATATTTGCATTTCGATAACATTAGCACGTACAAAATATTTTATTTAGATTTTAGCATTGTATGGCGGTTTCAAAATGTATAAATTGTAAGAGTTTGGTCCTGTTTGGATACAATTCAACAATGGGACATGACATGGCCATTGCCAAATTTGCGTACGCAGGTTTTATTGCATTTAGAGAATGTGTTGAAAATGTTGTATTATTACTAGCTGTAACTGTTTGAGTGCAAGGTTAAGAGTACATAAAAGCAATATACTGCATGGGGTTACCAATATTTTTAATATTTATTCAAACTTACAAACTTTCAATAAAGTGAATCGACAACTTTCGTTGTATTTTTAGGTGTTAATACATATGAATATGTCAATCATCATCGTTAATTATTGCAAAATGCAAAGTGGGCGGTAGAGCGTTTTGACATGATTTTCATCAGACCTTCGTTTTGCGCCTCTCACCGCGAATTATAGAGTGAGCAAAACGAAGGTCTGTATTCAGGCTATGTCCGATCACATACCGGAACGCCGCACATTGTTCTTTCTCGCTGGCTTTAGACATGTTTAATCCAAGATATAACTGCATAGTTTCCTTCCATCGTCTCCATCTTTCGGATAACGACAACTGTTCAGTTGTTGAAAAGTTGATCTTTAAAGGAGGCTTCATAAACGGCTCCATCCTGACACCATGTTATGTTATTAGTCTGTTTATTATGTTACAAAACAACCCTTATATACATGAGTCTAATTAGCATGCATATATACTGACGCTGATGCTTTCCATATATTTACTATTCAATTTCGAAATCTCGGCCACGCAATTTCCAGTCAGAATATGCAGAAACCCATGAAAGCGGAATGTCAGCAATAAAATCGTCTAACCCAACTGCATATACCTCCGCCAGCGAATTAAGGCTTCATGTATTTTGCCACGACCAATATCGAGTGTGCATGGCAAGAAATGTTTCCCCTACAGTGGAGTTAAAATCTGTACTGAGCCTTCCTGACCGAGAAACCGACAATCTTTAATTTTTTTCCCTAGCAGTATTTCCTCTGCCAGTTTGTAATTTTATACCTCGGTTGATACAGGATTTTGGGATTTTGCGTTGTGCAATCTTTTATGGGCGGTATTTGGTTAATGATTTCTTGGGTCTTCACCGGGTTTGGAGAGTAGACCATATCGTGAGATATTGACTGTATAGTAAGGCATAATGTATGTATAATGCGTGTGTAGGGTGTTCTGTATATCTTGTTTTCGATCCATACACGCGTGTCGTGGCTGAGGTTTAAATGTGCAAGGTAGTTTGTAAATTTATTCCTGATGTCCCTGATTGAGATATATGATTTGGTACAGTACATATATTATAACCTAGAGATTTGTGTATAGCGTATTGTTTGCTATATGCATCCTTCAAATTGGCTTGTATAGCTGGCTAGCGCTACAGTTTTAAGATATCTTAAATTGAGTTACAGAGTAATGAAGTCTATTTATATAATTACCACTTTGGGATCAGGCAAAGGATACGTAATCTTACAAAATTGTTAATGTGGTTCACGGGGAAAACGAAACAACATGAATATAGGCCTACCTCACCACAAGGAGTTAGATTATAAGATGAAAGTATTCTGCGAACTGGCATAATTTGACTGGCCATATCGAGGAATGGGCGCAAATGTAGCTGCTTTCAAGCAAAATATGTTATAAATAGGGGCATACCGTATATAACTATACGATAAAATTGTGGTCGATGGACGCAGAAGCATGTGACATGTACCTAACTGCCTAAACTGTGTTTTGGGTATAATTTCAGACTATAGCGTGTACGTGTATAGGACGACTCATTTAATGCATGTAGCCGAATGTTTCATCCTGAAAGCAGGGGTTTTTTGGGGGGTTTTTTTGAGGAAGTGCATGATATTACTTGTAAATGACAAATATATACATATAGGATTATATTGTACATATAAAATTATCGCCTAACACATGTTAACCCTGGGCTTAGACCTGCGTTCTCATAATCAATGCC